AAAGAAAGAAGACCCCGGTGTTTCGCGGTCGGTTATTCACGATAGTACCTCCCGACTTGAGGAAGTGGTCGAGATCGATATCGGTCGCGACGCGTCGCGTCGCCGGAGATAAGCACGATTTTCCGCGCGCTAAAGCCTTCCGCGCACTGCTCGCCCGCCGGCGTGAGCACGAGAATGGGAGAATCGCGGAAGAGAGCGATATCTGAAGGGGGAAGTCGGGGAACCGAGGAATGTTTTCGTGGATTATCCGTCTTCATCGATCCCCGGGTCTCTCCTCAGTGTCGAACAGCGTTGCTGAGCACGCGCGCTCGAGGTGTCTGTCGCGGTGAAAATTTAATAAAAAGCAAAAATATCTCGCCGAATCGTCCAAGTTTTGTCCCGTGTGAAATTGCACGCGTGCTTTCAACGTTTCGTCTCTCTTTCTCTCTCTTTCTCCCTCTCTTCTATCTTTCCCTCTTCCCCTTTTCGTTGTCGAAGAGAGAGATCTCTCTCGCGATCTTCCTCTCCGCTCGACATGCAGATCGTCCTGAGCGAGGTCACTTGTCCGACGGGACGACTAAAACCCCTCATTCGTCGTTCGCAACGACGCAGCGGGGCAGCGTGATATGCGAGGGGGGAATCGACGTGTCGCCGGCGCGACTTTCTCGCTTGCACGTGCTTTTTCCCTCTGTGTTGTCCCGCTCCCCTTCTATTTCCATATATATATATATATATATATATATTCCTCTCCCCCCCCCCCTCTCTCTCTCTCTCCCATCTCCCCTTCTTCCGGGTTAAAAGCGTTATCGTCGGCTGGCTTAGAGTGAGAGAAAGAGAAAAATGGAAAACACTGTCGCCGTCCTCGTCCGACAGTCGAGCCAGACGATCGAAAGAGGAAGAGTAGAGAGAGAGAGAGAAAGAGAGAGAATAAGAGAGGGGAAGGCAGAAGAGGGTGCACTTCTCACCCCGCGTTTAAGCCCATGCGATGTGGAAGCCGCGATAGATAGACGTTCCGTCGCAGTAGTTCGCTTTTTAGAAGATGCGCTCGGTACGTACCGCGCAAAATGGACTTTACTCTCTCCTTCGTTTTACTTGCCCTCCCCCCCCCTCCTCTTCCTTTCCTCTGTTTTCGTTGCTCGCGTTTTTCTCTCTCCGATCCTGCCCTTTCTCTCTCTACGGTCGCGTTTAACGTACCTAAGCGTCTCCGACGGTTGTGCGACGCGGTCGATACTCACAGCGTATCGCCCCCGGCTGACCGAGCTTCACCCTTGCGCTCTTACCCTTACCTTGCTGAACCTTCGGACAGATCCACCTCGTTCCCTGCGCCACGTAGTTCGTCTTTCTCTCACTCTCACTCATTCACTCTTTCTCTCTCCCTCTTTCTTTCTCTTTCTCTAGTTCGCACACGAGAGGACGATAGAGCGATCTACGACGTGCTCAGCTGGCCCGAGTTGTTTCCTCGGCCGGCTGTCACCTCTCTGAAGAAGTATCGGGGAAACTCGGGCGATTTCTCTTTCATCCGGGCGGCCCGGGAAAGCCGGGCGAGATCTCAGTGAACGAAATCGCGATTCCAGCCGGTTTTCGGGTTAATTGTTCGCGTTCGGACTTTTTTTTTTGGTCGTGTCTCGCGAAATGGAGGATTTTGCAAACGGCGATATCATCACGCTGGTCGTTTATAAACGACGATCGTTGCGAGCTCACGGGAGAATGAGTGTGCAAACCCGCGGCCTTGCTCGCGCTGTCGTTAAGCCCGCTTAGACTGGCAAATCCGCCGTTGAATAATATTGCTCAATGACAAGGCCGAAAAGGAGATTCGCTTTCCAACTCGTCGGCACGCGAATCGTTGCTTTTGGACAGTCTCCTCGGTGAGATGCCACCGATGAGGACATCCGACCAGTTTCTAAGCTAGTAAAACTCGTTTGAACTTTCAACATCGATTCGTTGATTTCGACCGGACGATTGTCGCGAAATTAATTCCGCAAAGTCGTTAAGAGGCGGCGTTATAGCGGCGGCGAGTCGCAGACGCGGGAACTCCACTCGGAATAACTTATACGGTCAACGATTCTTCCTCGAATGTAAATTGTAATTAACGCTCGAACGATGAAATTGCTCGACACACAGATAATTGATCATGGCAAGGGAGATTCAACGTACATGGAGTATGCTTCGAGAAAAATGAGGACGAAAATCTGACACATAATTTAAAAAGTATAGCACTAAGGTTCTTCACAGTAAAGTCAAGTTCAAGAAGTAAAAAAAAAATCTTTAACAAATTACAAGACTTTTTTTCGTCTTTCGAGTAAACTCAACCGTCTTCCCTCAAAGGATTTTTAATTCTGTGCGGCCAGTAACAAATCTAATAATAACAAATTTTCGGTAAAACAAAACTTCAGGATCCCTGTATTCAAGTTTAACCTTTAAAAAAATCATCAATATGTAATATGATTCTTCATCCATTCCATCGCTCTGGAGCGCTTCTGAATTCAACGTTTATTTCTACGAAGAAAAACCGACATGTATCTTTCCCGCAAACTTCATCCGATTCGATCCATCTATTTTCACAATCAGACCTCGCGAATTTACAGCTTGGAGAAAGAGAGGAGGGAAAATTCGCGGAATCTCTAAGAAAAGATCCGTTGGATCGACAAGATCAACGATTTCGTTTCGAACAAACGTTTAATCTGTCAAGTCGAGTAAATTACACGTCGTCGCGTGTTGCAACGACAAATTGTATCGATGCAATCGCTTGCCGATATAATCGCGCTTGTTAAATCAATTAATCATCCATTACGTTAATTATACTATTTGTTCGATCGACTAGCAACGTTCACTTCAGTGAATTTTATTCGCTCGAGCGAAGAATTCGTCGATCGGACTACCCCCCCCCCCCGCCTCCCCCTCTCTCACTCTCTCTCTCTCTCTCTCTCGACGCTGGATGATACATCGTGACTTTGAACTCTCCGTGGCTGTCACGCCGTTTGGTGCCACACATCGCGAATCCTGCGATCCGCGGCCGCTTCTCCCCGCCAATCCCCACCTTCGCGGAGATTACGTCACTAACCTCCAGTTAGGCGAGGTCGGGATCGTGCCACGCAGCATGTTCACAGGTTACGATTCGAATATTCGCGCGTAGATCGTGGCTTAAAAATACCTCGACCTGCGGGATCGATCGCGGGAGGAACACGGGACAGGCGCGCCGGCATTTTTAGGACGACCGCTGCCGCACTGTGTCGGCACGCGATGATCCTTTTTGCGTGCGGTAAGTGCGACGCAATCGCGGAACGATCCTCTACCGAGCTGGCAGGGGTTTCGTTAAAGTTCAAATTAGCGTTTTTCTCCTTCGCGGCGCCCACTTAGGCGCTTTCGCGGAAAACTCCGGTTCGCGTAACCCTTCATTTTCTTCCAACTCGCCGTCGCATTTTTTCTCACGGCGGTCTGAGAGCCGTGAGAGAGAAAGAGAAAGGAGATAAAATAGAATCAATTTTATCGTGCTCTAGGATAAATCCTGTAAGAGCAACAATTGAGGTTAATTACGTGATAAAGGTGGATAATCGTCATAACGAGAAAAATTTTTAAGTATAATTTAGAAGAAAAGAGAGGAAGAAATAAAAGATTTGATTGTAAACTAAGGATTGATGAGACATAGTAATATATTGCAAAATAACAAAGATAATAATGAACTAAGACGTAAAGTGTAAAATAAGGATGCTATTGATGAGGAACTAACGCTTTTCAATTTAAGATAATGACTATATAGACAAAAATTAACCTTAAATTGAGATAAATATTTTCATATATAAGCAAGAATATTACAATATCCTTAGGAAATTTTTAGTCTTAAATTGAATTCAAATAATACTTGCATGAATACAAACTTAACCTTTTGACCGCATTATAGGTCAGATAGATCCGGTGAAGTGTGTCTGAAGAGCTGTAGAGAAGAGAAGTGCGTCAAAAATTCGATTTATTTTTCAGAAACTCAAAGCTTGATTTTCTATGAATACACAATCAAACAATTAAACAATAAAGTAGAAGAATTACACTTTATTCTGGAATTTTGTCAGCTTCTTTTCTCTTACAATTTCTCAAATACGGAATGTAGTTTTAAGAGCCGAGGGCAACGAATTCTTCCAATTCATAATGCCAGTAACCGAAAAAGATTTCTGAAAGTGTAAACAGAACTTTAGACACAAATAAATGATTATACTTAAAGAGGGAGAGCGAGAGAGAGAGAGAGAGAGGAGAGAGAGAAATAAATATACACGTCTCGCTCGTCGGACTTCCGCGTCCCGACGATTATTTATTTTTACGCCGGCGAGAGAAACACCGCGGGGACAAAAACTCGACCGAGCGTGTAAAGTCCACTACTATAGGATACGGACGGTAAATAACGTTACGTTGTTTATTTAGTGGTTCTAAACTTGGCGAGGGCTCCTTTCGGCTGTAATAACCGGGTTCGTCTAGCTGTCCGTCCTTTCGTTCGCGTTCAAACGTCACGACGTAACGCACGTTCGCTCGCGGAATCATCGATCTCCGTTCGTCACGTAATCCCGCCGCTTCCGCGCGGAATGTATCGCCCGCGCGCTAAAATATCCCGCGTTATAAATACATTTTCGAAGACACAGGTGGGTGGGTGTAATGGGTCAGTGGGGCGTGCACGGGCCGTTGATTATATCTCCTGTTCGTCCGGACGCGGGATTTCGTCGCGTCGACGCTAACGCGCCGCGTCACGAGACCATTAATCTCGTAAAGTCGGCTTTTAATTTTCTAATGCGGACGCGCGCGCTTCCTTTGCCTTTTATCTCTTCGCCGTGTGCGCGAGAGAGATAGAGAACGAGCGTGCGTGCGTGCGTGGCGGGTGAGAGTAAGAGAAAGAGAGAAGGAGAGAGTGCTCCCGGGGAGTTTCGTGTCAACACACACACACACACACACGCGCCTCTCCTCCGAAAAGTGTTCATCGACCTCTCTCCTCCGGACTTTACGACCTGTTCTCACAATTCGTCCGTCTTTCGCATTTTCAGATCGCTCCCTCGGCGAAAAAGCTCTGGGGCGTGGACGACGGCGGCTCCAAGGACGAGGGGGGTGTGAAAGGCGGTGGGATACTTCACCTGGGCGACCACCAGATGTGGCGGGATTCCACCTGGAGCACGTCAGGTACGATGAATGTCGTCGAGGTGACGACGCGCGCGTTCTCGCCGTCCGCGTCCAACAGTTATTACAGCTCGGTAGCTCGCGGACCGGTCGGCGAAATGCGTATGCGCTTGTGTGAAACTCGAGCGCGGCTGCGCTCTCGCGGATGAGATAATCGAAACCGGAGTCGGATAAACGCGAGAAATAAACAGCTAACGGCCGCGTGTACACGTAGATGACGACGTGCATGTGCCGAGGTGCGGTGCGTATCGGCGTTTGGAATGTTTCCGCGAGAGGAATGCGCGTGGCGGTCTCGGAAATGCTCGAAAGTAAAAAATGCGTATCGGTATATCAGCTTCATTGCGTAACGGCGGGGATTAAACAAATGATTCCATGAATGATCTTTATTAACGTTAATAACATCTTTAGTAGTAATCTTATCGATATATAATAATCTTTATAAGTAATCTAACTAGAATTCGTCATTATCTCTAATAACGGAGATATTAAAGGAGCCATAATATCTACAAGGACCATAATATTACCTTTTCCTCCAATACTTAATAGCACTAAATATCTGCTTGGCTTCTCGCGGTCCAATATTGGCAATTTAAGATTTATTTACTTAGAAATGTCCTTGTTTCTGTGAAATATATATAACCTTGTATTCCACAAATTTCGAAGTACTTTTCCGTCGGTGTAACGAAAAATGAAAGCGCGTGAGAGCAACTTGGGTCGTTTCTTTGGGACTCTCCCCAACCCTTTGTGAAACATAATTCGCGTCAAAGTCCTGCCGGTAGCCGTTCATTTATCGCCGTTGTCTCCCTCGTGAACGGCGAGGATCGGCACTTTTAAGTATGCGATATGAAAAGCGTTCCTCACTGATTCATCACTTTCCACTTCAGTATTCTTTATGGAACACCCGTTTCTTTCGGAGCGCGATGCGCGACTCGTCCTCTGTCTCTCTCCCCCATCATTTCACTCTCCTACCGTTTTTTCACGATATAACGAAGGTGTAGTTTTGATTTTTGCAAAAACGTCGGCTAGATTTCGATAGACTCGATCAGTCGTGTCGCGAGAATATCTCCGGAGATATTTTCAGCGTTGGGAACGGTCGCGAGGAATGAAAATCCGCGCGATTGAATCGTTTCTCCGGCGTTCGTCGGCGAAAGTGGTGGAAGTGGGCGCGGCGAGTTAGTAAATATATTCGTTACTGAGATAAGTGTTATTTAATTCACAGTTCTGTCACACACAGTTTTGTACGCGTGAGCGTAGCATACGTGACGACGGAAACACGTCTTATATATTATATGTCTCATAAGTCATTCGTACTGTGTACACAAACTTGTAGGTCGGACCGTGTGTATATTACGTGACATAAGTCGTAGCGGTCAATTAACTGAAAGTCAGTCAGTTAAACGTACGTCAGAAATGGACTCGAGTACGGAAACTCGCTCGTGGGAAATCTCGGCGGAAATTGTCCAGCGGAATCGTTCGATCCTCACGACGGTAGCGAGCCGCGAGTGCGTCTGTGCGCGTCATCTGTCACTTTACGTTAACTCTCTTCGATTGTTCAGATAAAAATACCAATATGCGCACTTAAACCTGAACACTCTTATCGTTTTGGTTTTTCATTGCAAATATCTTAACTTTCGACCATGAATACGTACATTTAATATATACATTTATTCTATGTGTTGAGAGTTTAAATATTCGTATTTCAAGCTCCTGCTCTCCCCCATTGCAATCGTTCCTGTTTAATGACGTCAGAAGCGAAGTTACGCATGCTAAGAATATTCTTGCGATATATGTTTAAACAAAAAGTCATTAAACAAGAACGGTCGCAACGGGGGACCAGGAGTCTTCAAGATCAAAATAATGAGAACGTCCAGGTTTAGGTAAATGTCCGGGCATTGTTACTTTCACATACACTTTTACCTTAATTCGTAACACAAGAAATTAGACCACGAGTCGCAGTTTCTCAACGTTATTATCAATGTTCAAAGGGAAAAACAACGATTGATAACAATAGCCGAGTCCCGGCAGGATAATTCGCGTCCCGGCGCACCACTTTCTCCCACGTCTACGTCGCGCGCCTCTGTTTCTTCCCCTTCGCTTCCCACCCTCGTCCTTTCCACCCCCTTTTCTCCAGACCATAGTTTCCGGAGCGGCCGAGGTACACCCAGGTACCTGTAGATCCCGGAGAAAGAGAGAGAAAGAGCAGGGCCCGGTAGGAGCGGTGGCGGCCGGTTTCAGAGCGATTGTCAAGGCGTGTTCGCGGTGTGTCTAATATGTACGGGGTGCTCGCGAAACACCTGATTCCTCGCGACGGCGTGTACCGGCACCTCGGTGTGCGGTGGTCGCGATCGTGTGTGCGTCACCGCGATGGGTGCAACGCGGCTGTTGCCATGGCGACAGACGCCCGGCATCAGCGGTGGCGGTGGGAGCAACGTCCCAACGCCCAGGGTCGTACCTACTGATCCACCCCGAGCAAGCGAAACGGCGTTGGCGAGCACCCCGACCGACCGACAGACCGACCGGTCAACCGACCGACCAACTAACCGGCCAACCAACCAGCCAATCATCCGGCCAACTTTCCGACCAGCTAACTGGTCAACCAACCAACCAACAAACAACCCTCTGTCCACGTAGGTCGCTCGCGTGTTGGCGTCATATGGAGCCGCGTGAAACGGCGGAAAAACTTCTACATCTATATATAGAGAGAGAGGGAGAGAGAGAGAGCTCAACGGAATTTCGTTCGATAATGCTCATGCCGGCAGCTGCCGCTTGTCGATGGCGGCGAACTGCCGTTTGAACGAATTCCGCTTCCGCATAATCGTTCCTCCCTCCGTCTCGGTGTGGCTCCCAATATCCCGCAGATGCGTCGTCCGGGCAGGAATCCTCCTTCCGCCGATATCCCCTAGTATCCGGAGACACGTTAGACTCTCCCAAATCGCGATACTCGTGACGAACGAGATTCGCCTGTTGGGATCGTTGGCGATTCTCATCTACGTGTATCTTGTCTGCTCTAAGACACTTCTCTCTCTCTTTCTCTCTCTCTCTCTCTTGCTCGTATCTCGTTTATTTCGAACGAGAATCTCCAGTCGGAAATGAAATGAAGGTCGTGCTTTTCTACGGATAAGTCGCGCTGCGACAGCTTCATGAGCGTACGTAATTTCAATCTTCCTGGGATACGGATTTAAAAAAAAAAACTGTTCGGGAGTGAAAGCTTTCCGCGGCTCTCTCGTCTCCCCTCGCTCTCCTCCGGTCGCGTTGAATTATGACCTCGGGAGCGAGGATCGCGCGCGGGTTTTTCCCCTCTTCTCGCGCCGCCGCCACACGTTGAAATAAATTTGCTTTCCTCGCGCTCCGATCCGGCTCGGAGCGTACCGAGGATTTCGTTCGATTTCGTGGATTAAAAAAGTACCTGTAAAAATGGCGACCGTGACGTGCAGCGACGAGCTTGATTTTTCTCTCGCGAACGACGCGTGGCACGCGCGTGTGGATTGAATTATGCACGCGTTTACTAACGCGGCCTGACAAAGGGAGGAAGTTTTCGGTAATTCAACACGTCGCGCCACAGTCGTCAACAGCGAGACGACCGGTGTCGGACGTAATCGACATTCCTCGCGCGTCGTTGAAATCTTAATAGAGCGACCAGGTATAATGAATGAAATATAAGAGGGACGCGACGACGGTGAGATAATATTGAAAAAGCGGCGCGTAAAGAGAATTCTGCGAAAGGATTATTTTTCCGCTACACGAATTCCGTCATAGTTAGGGAGAGAGAGTTAAGAAAGGGAGAACGAGAGAGAGAGAGAGAGAGAGAGAAATATGGCACGTTGTTACATATATATTTGTGTCTATTGATCCTCCCTTGTATTGACTCAGACTTGTCGAGAGAGAGAGAGAGAATCGGGTACGCGTCGTACACTCGTGACGTCTTTTCACAGGAGAAAGAGAGAGAGAGAGAGAGAGAGAGCGCATTATTTCTCATGGACGTATATTCTCGTACGATGACTCGGAATTAACGCGCGACGGGCGACCCCGAATTAGGAATATATCTTCGAGTATCACTTGGAAACACTGTATACAAATATCGTAACGCGCGTGTATATGTGCCTTCTCGTACGTTTGTGTGTGTATACATGTGTTCGTTTTTTTCCAGATCATGCGGTGTCACAGCCAATTTCTATGGGCACTGGTAGACGCGTGGGCGTTGGAACGGGATACCACCATCAGGCATCAGAAGTTGGAACAGTGCTCAGCCCCCGAAGCAGGTTCGTTAACATTTTGTAACACGTTCTTTTTACCGATTTCGTCACTGGTGTATAAAGTCGTGTGTCGGTTCCCGAGCGACGATTGGGGCGTCGTAGTAACGCGTGATTTTCCCTCTTGCAGCGAAACAGGTGGTTTGGGAGTCAAGATGGTCGAGTACGTTCTTGGATCGAGTCCCACTACACCGAAAGAATTGGAGCCACGAATGGTCTCTCTGAGATTGGTGAGTAATGTACATAATACCATTTTTTTTTTAACTTATTTGCCTTCCCGTGAAATATAACACGCAGAGTTGAGAAATTGTTCTTGAATTGATAAGACATCTGCGAATCTACCTCGAGATATCGTCATCATTTCATATTCGCTTCGATGTATTATTGCCGCGTGCAAAAGTTCTCCCAGGCGGCGAGACTCGTCGAATTGCGTGACAAATCGCAAAACGACGCCTTTGGAAGGCTTCGCACGCCACTGTGTGCGTTGCATTGCCGTGTCACTATATCTTGACTTCTTTGCGCGCAGAACACCGATGCGGACAAGAAGGAGAAAGAGAAAGGTTCGGCGAGTCCCTTTGATAATTCAAAGGATGACACTGGGCCGCAGGGCAACGGATTGGCGTCTCAAAACGGACTGGACGACGACAAAGGATTCAAGTGAGTACTACGAAACTCGTTTCGCCGATTAAGTTACCCGCCATTAAGCGGTATCAAGTGACATTACACGTACACATACAAAGGTGTCTGTCCAAAGGTGCATCTCGTACATACTTCATGTACGGATTTTTTAACGTTTCAAGGCGCAGCTCACTTTCTCTTAAAACGGATTCAATCGTTATTGCGACTTGAATATTTTAATATCCAGTATTATACATTCACATAATTAATTAACAACGTAGACTGTCGCGCTTGCTTTCATTTTCTTGCTCTTCCCTGAAGATTCTTCGATTCGATTGCGACTCACAAGACTGTCCGATCTGTCGGCGTTTTCGTGAGATAAGGTCGAGTATAATCAGTGCTGCCATTCAGTCATTAAATCACCTTAAATCGCCTTTTTTAATCACCTTTTGTCATTTTTTCTTGCCAAGTCACTAAAAAATTCATTATCTTCCAAAATGGGTCGCTATAGTCACTTTTTTCCCCGAGCTGTTAGATTTGTAAAATATAAATATTCTATACTACTATTTTTGCCGATTGCTCCGAAAGCATACATGCATCGTTCATGTCTTTAATCTTTCTTTGTTATGAATTTTCGAATCTTACTACAAACAACTCTCTCTACATATTAAATAAAAAATATTAAATTATCCAAAAATAAATCTGGGAAAGTAAGAGTAAATTTTACTTCTTTTCTCTCAAATGGCCTTAATTACTCTCAAAATTTGACAAAAGAAAATACCACTTTTGGTCACTATTTTGATGTCCAAGAAATTACTTTTCGTCATCTATTCTGCTAAGAAGCACTATTTCCCCTTTATTTGTGCTGGTGACTGGATGACAGCCAGGAGTATAATAAATATCAAGGAAATTTCAATTTAATCCCCTCCCCCCCACCCCGGTTACAAAATTAGAATCCGTAAATTGAATGAAAATGCACGCAATACCCGGGGAGGCAGCCTGTGCGGATCGAACGGCCGTTATTTCGCGCGCGAGGTCCTACAAGAAGAAATAAAGAAAGAGACGATCTCAAACAAGACCCACACAGACACACACATCCACGGCTCGTAATCTCGCACAACTTGCGCGCGCGACTCACCGTATAATTAAGCAATTGTATACGCGAGCGCGCGATGAAAGCCGGCGCGCGCGCGGCTTCTCCCGCTCGCTCGTTCGTTCGCTCGTTCGTTTATCCCTTATCTGATAACTCTTTCCGTACGTTACGTCCACCACGGAGAGTAGCACGGCGAAATAGCGTAATAGCGATAGCTGCTGGCCTGCGTGCGCGCTGTCAAGGGCATGCCTACGCGCGGCCGATGACATCGCGTTCCTCTCCCCGTTTCCTTTCTCGACTTCGGCTTCCTTCCCTCGCCGGTTTTCCAGCCTCGTCGCGCCATCTGGCCGCTCCCGTCGGCCGTCCGGTGCGGCAGCGAGCGACGTTACCGACTGAGCCGGTGACCGTTTCTCCTTCGTCGGCGTCGCGTTGGCGCGCGTTTCTTCGCGTTCTCCTCCGTGTCGCCGTTCGAGCCGCGAGTCGAAGTCAGTGGGACGCGTCGTCGTCTGTCCTTTTCGCCGAACTGGCCGAACTAGTTGAAGAAATTTACGCACACAAACGTAAGAATCTTCTCGTATGTGTACACGCTTCGTACGCTTTTCAATGTGTGTGTGTAAATTTCCTGAACTCACGCGGCCAGTTCAGCTGGACAGAACCGGCCAATCGCAACGAGCGAGCGAGCGAGCGAGCGCGAAAACACGTCACAGGTAATAGAATAACTATTACGGTTGTTGCTCGCGTCGTTATGATAATGACATTAGCTCATCGGTTGACGGCCGTGTTCTCTCGTCAGCCTCTCTCTCTCTCTCTCTGTCCCTCCCTCTCGCCTTCCATCGAACGTCGCCCGCCGCCGCCGCTTTCCTTTCCCGCGAGATCGGTTGCGCGGTCCGTCCTGCCGGCAACGCGCGCTGGATTGTGCGTTGTTACGCGCGCGTTCGCTATTATGCAAAGCGCAGCACCGTTACGACGGCGAGCGGCCAATTGCGTGCACACGGAATCTCCGAGCACGTTTATTACAGAGCTCTCTCGCCTCGATTTACGCGCTATTATTCGCGAGATCGGTCACGCCAATATGGCTGCTCCAGTTGCCTCTCGACGATTCGCGCCGCGGCGAGAATAAAGCTGTCCGGTTTCCCGTACGGTTTTCCTCGGCGCCGATCTGATTGTTAATACATCTGCGACAGCTGTGTGTGCTCGATGTGATGTGTGCACAACGTTGGGGAAAAGGTAATGTGAATTATCGAGAGAGAGAGAGAGAGAGAGAGAGAGAGAGAGAGAGAGAGAGAGAGAGATTTTCTCGCACTGGTGCTCGGGAATTCCGCACATTCGTCATTCGGAATGAGAGGTCCCTGACATTTACGATACTCGTTTATAATCGCCGAGGAAAATCACGTCAGTCTCTTTATATAGAAAATAAAAGTGCGATTCCGTGCTTGCTCACGAATTATCGACTTCGCCGTGGAACAGCTCGGCGTAATTCTGAGCGACGGATGGACAAAGAGAGATGGAGTTGATGGAACGTTCTCGGAACAGACATGAGATCCCTTTATCATAGCAGGATTTGTTGTTTATTTGTTAGCAGATTTACAGATTAGTTATGACGAAAGAATACTGTGTATACATGGAGAAAATATTGTAGTAAGAGTTATTATGAATCTTGTAATGCTTTTTGATCATACCGGAATTATGATTGAAATTGTGTGTTGTAATCTTCAGTGATATATGTGTCTACACGTACTATGTATTTTTTCCATGTATTTGTAGATTCACAGAATTTTTCTAGAGCAAGCGTTTTGATGTATATATATATAAGCTGTATTATGGTAATTATGTTAATCTATAGAGAAAATGCGTAATTTTACGAGGCCTCTCTTGCCTCTGCATGTATTATTCATGTGAAGACGCTTGATATTGCTCAGGATCCTTGATATTCTCAGAGAGAGAGAGAGAGAGAGAGAACTTTGCAAATGCTGCGAGAGATTACGAGCCGTCGGTCAACGTGAGATAATAGTTACACTCGAAACGTTAAAAGTTTTACAATATTTCAAGTAGCTTTGATCGTATCTTCAATTTATTAAACGCCTAAGAATCGAATCTCAATACCTCATCTTGTAACTGATCTCTCTTCGTTTGCAGTCGCACACCCGGTAGCCGTCAGCCTTCACCGGGGGAGGAAGAGTTTCAGAAGAATGCGGCTGCGACATTGGCGGTGAGCGCCGGCGGCGGTGGCGTCGTGCTGCTGAAACCCGGCGTCGACGTGGTCGGCAGCGAGGAGCATTTTATGGCGGCGTTCGCGCCGGCACCGCCGCATCATCTGCAGCACCACCAGGCACCGCCGACTCACCACCTGCAACATCCACACTCGCACGCGGCCGCGCAGCTGTTCGGCGCCCAGGCGCCACCACCTCCGCAGGGTCCGCCGCCATCGCAGCAGCAACAGCAACAGCAGGGTCCTCCACAACCGCAAGACACCACCACGCACTTCGACGTGCAAGTGAGTCTTGTTTTCACGCACTACTACTATGCGCCGGTCGGCTCAAGCGAGGCGTGAAGAGATGTCGTGAGCGATCTTTCTCGGCGCCACGGTTGGTAGGAGCACGTTAAATTCATGCGAAAGCTGGAAACCTTGAGATTTCCATGTTCTACTGTGTTGTAAAGGTGCACTTACAAACGAAGATGTAATTCTGAAAGTTGCCTAAATTTATATCACTGCACAGTAAATGATTTTATGTAAATAACGGTCCACGGAAACTTTGGATCGCTTTAATCAGATGAATATGTTCATTTAACGTATTTTGTGTACTTCTTAACATATTCGCATGCTAAAGTAACACGAAACTTCAATGGACCTGTTACTTACATAACCTTTTACATGTGTATATATTATCCTTTACATTTTTATTCTTTATCACATTCCACTGTGTATTAAATATAGATATTATCGTCCAAATTTTCATATATAATTTTTTTTATTGAAATGACACAAATTCCTGCAAGAGAGAAATATTTGGGTCGCTCCTCTTGTTTCGAGAAAATTAAATTTGTTGTATATAACATATGTTATGTGCCATCTTCTAAATATGACATTATTCGTGCAATTGTAAATTATTTATCTGATTGGCGTGCGCAAATTCCCGCAAAGGGGGAGGTGTCATATGAACAGCTTCGTTTGCTTAAAGGTCACGAGTGACGTGGAAATCGAGATAGATCGCGTACGACATTTCGACCGGCGGAAACGCTTCGATCGCTATACCTTCGGCCCTACGAGCACACAATGACGATACTCCTCTCGTGCGCGAGGCCTTGATCGCGTATTCTCGTGGGCATGTTTTTTTATTCCGCCCCATGAAAGCGGTCCTCTCGTATCGATAATAGCCTGCGACCTGTGCGCGCGGCTTTAGAGAGAAGAACCGGCCCCGTGCTTCGTTCGTCGCGGACGAACGTATAAATCACTGAGTGACAGCTCCTCTCGACGTGTCTACTTCGAGTCCTATTCAGAAAATAGAACAGCAATATATATCGGTATACACCGGTGGGCTCGGCGCGCGCGCGTTTCTGCATTTCCTCGGCTATTCGTATTCAGCCGCGTATTCGGCGAGGCAAAAGCGGCGGCGGCTCGTCTCATATTTTTCCCCCGAGGAACGCGACGACAGGGAGAGGAGTATATTGACCTCGAGGAGCGCGCGCGAAAAAGTCGCGAAAATTTGACACGACGAGCAAGCGATCGCTCTCGAGCGAGCTGCGGATCTTCGCAAGAGCCTCGATTGCGAGCGCTGACGCGAGAGGATCGATATTTTTATCTCGAAGTTCAATGAGAATTCCCGAGTCGAAATTTTACTCCTGCATTTTAAGTCTACTTAAGTTCTACGGTGGGTCTTTGAGAGTGAAGAAAACGGTAATAATTTCCCATTTCTAGCATCAAGGGTGCATTAACAAGAGCTCTTTTGATGCTACGAAGGAAATTTTCGATTCTGCATTAAGTCTTCAAGCGGAGAAATAACTTCCCTCCGTTTGTAGCATCAAAGGAGCACCGTGAAAGACACAATGAATGTTTAACATAGAACCAAGTAGACTTAATATAGAACTAAAATGTCGACTCGGCGACTGAATTCCGATACAAATTATCGAATTGAGCTTCAGTTAATTGGCTTTGACTTGAATTACTGAGAATTGAAGCTTAAAGAGAACTTAAAAAGAAGCATAAACATTCCTTCGATCATGGATAACGCCCGCGGTTGCAGATGCTATTTCAGACGTATTCCCCACTTTCGCTCTTCTGGGCGTTTAATTGCGCCGCCAACGATAATGCCGATTGGATCTCGAGGTAAACCTCGAGTTCCGCCGGATATCTCGGTTTGCTTGCGATATCGCGAGCGTCTGAAAGGGGGAAGAAGGGAACCGAGCGAGACACTCGTCTTTCTTCTCGCGCGTCCACTGTTTCCTATTCTTCCCCCTCCTCGAACTTTAACCCGATGAAGGCGGCATCCGAATTTCTCTGGAGTGTGCTCGAGCGTTCCCGAGCCGCCGACGTGAGAATGAAAGATGCATTTCCCGAATTGTCACGCGCCTTTCGCAGATGCTCTTCAACTGACTTGCCCCGATAACGGGATCGCGTGTGAACGTACTCGGCCGTTCTTTTTGACACGTGAAGAGCGTCCGAGAAAGAGCGAGAAAGAACGAGAAAGAGAGGGGAAATAGATTCTCCTTCGACAGGAGAGAATCCACGAATGAAAAGAACGAGAGAGAGAGAGAGAGAAGTAACGTACGTGTGTCGCTTTCCCGCCTGCGGGAAATGAGCACCCCCCGGCCGACGACTATTGTTCCCAAGAAAGCGAAGAAGTCGCGGCGCCGGCAGTTTCCGCGCGAGAACAGCGGAACTCGCGCGTATATATGTGCGCCCGCCGACTTCAGCGGAGACCCGACACCGTGTTGACGACGACGTCGTCGTCCTTGCCTCACCTCGCCGGTCTACCCGCGACTGAACCTGCTCGACGGCGCGTTAAAATTTTCGTCGCGTTTTCGCACGCTCGAGTTGCCCACGTTCGATCGATTCCCGCTGCATATCTAAATTAATGCGCAGCTAACGAATTCTCTTTCTCTCTCACTCTCTTTCTTTTTTTTTTCTTTCTTTTTTTCCCCTTCTTTTTTTCTTATCGCATCCCGACCTATTAAATCATCGGAAGGAGACGGCAAGAGAGCTAGCCACGCGAGATAAAATCGGGAATACGACGCACATGTTCGCGGATCCCCGCGAACGTTCCGATTTTCCTCACAGATTAGATCGAGATTTACTCCCCCCCCCCTCTCCCCCNNCCCCCCCCCCTCTCCCCCCCGTTGGCTCCGCAACTCGGTACAATTTTCCCTCGATGCTGCGATCGTAGATGCGCGATCGAGTGTGGCCCCGGGATTTTCCGACCATTTCACACCATTTCTCTGTGTACGCACCCGGCACCGGTATGTACCTCGAGCGCCTTGTGGTCGATGAAAAAAAAAGAAGGGAAAAGGAGGAGAAGGTCGACCTTCGGGTCACCCCGTTCTCCTCCTTCCCCTTCGTTGACGCGTACGGATTTTCGTGACGCTCTCATCGCGCGGTTCTCTCGCCGCACATGTGAATATAAAAATAGGACGCGCGCGCGTTTTCACGAGTTTGCTCTCGGGAGCAGCTCGTCGTCGTCGTCGTCGTCCGTCCGTCGGTGCGTAGAACCTGCACGAAGCCGGCCGGCCGGCCTCTGGAGGAGCCAGGGAGGTACACACAGGCGTGTCGGTACGAAAAGTGCGTGCACGCGTGAGACTCGCTTACTTCCGATCGCGTTATTACGCGAGCGCGCGCTGTGCTCCCCGATGCGTGAAGCGATTCCCAGACCTCGCCTTCTCCCCAGCCCTCTCCTCCACCTCCTCCTCTTCCTCTTCTTCTTCCACCTCCTCCTGCCCCCTTGTCTTTTCCTCTCCCCTTTCCGCCTCCCGGTCGGGTTTTCCCTCTTCCTCGCGAGCACACAATTCTTCTCGTGTTCGAAGAGCGGAAAGCGAAGAGAGAGAGAGGGAAAAATAGAGAAGAGGGGAAGGAGGAGGGAGGAATGAGGGAGAGAAAGAGAGGAGATTGTGAAGGTGTACAAACGCGTATCACGGATAACGAGCGAGGAAGAGAGAAGGAGGGAGAGAGAAAGAGAGAGAGAGAGAAACGAGGAGGAAGATAGACAACGGGTTGTTGACTCGTTGCCCATTCAGCATAAAGTGCAATGTCCCGATGAAAATCCGTATCATCGCCCGAAGGTTACAATCTTCCTTAGGAAAGGGGGGAAGGATGAGGGTGTACCAAACCATTTCCCCGGGTTACACGTCGTCGTCCTTTCGCGGTATCCCGTCTGCGAATTCTCGCGGATATCGCATATCTAGCATCGTCTCTCGTCGTCGAATGTCGCGGCTCTGCCGTTTGCGCTCGTTCATTCGCGTCGCGTTTCCGCCATCGATTTTTGGATTTTCCACGTGACCCGCTTCTCACGTCATCCTCTTTGCCGCCGAAGCCGGCTGGATTTTTATTTGCCGTCTCTCAGCAGATTCACTGCTCCTGCCGGCTTTCCTCGTTCTCGGCTCTCTTAATCCGCCACCGTCGTCGTTGTCGTCGTCGTCTTCGTCGGCGGCGAAGAGTCCCGGCGAACGCGCGGACTTTGCTCTCCGATCGCGTCGGGTAACGGTCGCCACGGTCGTCCGTTGTTGAATTCGCGCGCGATTAAAAACTGGAGGAGAGAACAAGAGAGAGAGAGGGAGGCGCGCGAGAACGATGTTAACGTCGCGCGAATTCCTTCGTGAATTTCTCCAACACGGGGAGACGAAGGAATGATGATGCTCTCTTTGAGCATTCTTCACCGGTGGAATCACGCGCGGCTTTTCGTAATCTTCGGCCTCTGCTCGTGGGAACTGTGCCAGAAGCCGGCTGCCGTTGCGATTGACAGCCGGACACGCGGGTTCGGTAACGCGTCGTCAAGATTGGATTTTGCCGCCGTTAGATCTCGAGCGTTCTCAGGCGATTTGGATGCATCGCATATTGTGAAACTCCTTCGGATCCCGGTGGACGAGAATATCTCAGGTTGCGCGCGAACAGTCAGTTCGATCGCGCGTCAATATTTTGTATCGGCGCGCGACTCGTACTGCCGATTTTTGTCGAACGTCGATTTTGATCAGCGAATTTTCACACGATCGAGACTTCCTCTTGGCGTCAGATCAGTTTGAAGTAGTGATGGGTGATGGCTATTCGAAGAGCTTTCAGAAAATCGATCTCCTCCCTCCAAAAATTGATCCTGAAGTCGATATTTTTTTCTGCTCAATTTTTGTAAGAATTTATTCTTTTATTAGAGAATCGATTTTCAACCCGTTGATGTATGCTTATTTATCAATGTTGTTTCCTTTAATGAAGCATTCACACAGTCGACATCTGAGGATCGATCTCAAAACGTAGCGAGGGTTACAAGAGTGAATAAATTCACTAGGCGTTGACTA